TCTTTCCATAAAATTACACTCCATACATGGAGCCACTTGCAAAAGAAATGTTTGCCTAGGAACCTAAGTGATCCTTTGAACAAGGTTCTGATCTTTTCTCTGTTTCTCACTTTATGAAAAGTGTTCGACATGAAAGGAAACAACTAATTCTAATTTGAGAAAATTATTCCTTTATCAAACACATATGCATGTTTGTACTCTTGTACCTCATCAACCATAGCATGACTTCATAAGGATTTTTGCACATAAGAGCAGGAAAAGAACAAAAAATGTAGAGATGCTGCAAGAAATATAAACTGAAAGGGAAGGAAAAAGATGTGAACCACATCATTTCTCCTTTTTCTACACTCCCCACTAACAGTTATGAAAGTCAGAAGTTTTTATATCAATATAACCATGCTGTATATTGTAGGTCCACTGACTAGATAATAGTAATGACATTTATAACAAAACACATAACTCTTGGAGCACATCTTTAGTTTCTGAGGTGTGCAGTGCACAGTCCTTAACATGCTTCTGAGTTAGGCAGGCATTGTATTACCTGACTTTTTTCAGTGGAAGAAACTGAGGCATAGATTAAATTATTTGTCCAAAGATGTCATCAGTATGTTTGTGATTTGACTGCCAGTTTTCTGCTGAGAATCTGTTCTGCTATTCTTCTCATAAACATAATGAATGTATTTGTTCATTCTGATGACCATTATAAATTTTTTATTGAATAAACAGCTGGGAAGAGCTGGTCTGCGTGCTTTCTTTTCCTTTAGAAATTTAAAAATGCCCAGACCAAATTAATCACTTTTCCCTACTTCTACATAAAGCAGAACTATCTAGATAGACTGCCATTTTTGCAGTCCACTTGCCACTGAAATCCTGGATGGGAAGGAAGTGCCCTGACTTAATCTTCGAATTAAGTAGACCAGAAGTAATTAAAATGTTGACATAAATACCAAAGATAAGATCTTATTACTGAAAAATACCTTGCACTTAACAGCCATTTCCTGAATTTTTTACCCTTTTTATAGAAGACCAGAAAGTGGAATTAGAGTAGCCTTCCTTATAAGCTGTATTTCAAGAACGATATAAAATGTGAGCATCTGGAGTGGCTTTTTTGTTCCAAAATTCATTTGTGTGTTTCAGGTGACTGGTATGAATTAATTTGTAAATCAAAGTTTATAATATCCATTTCCATTTATTATAAGATAATACTTGATATCAGAGGTTCCCAAAGTGCAGTCTCTGAACAAAGTCTTATGGTCTAGAAAGGGACCCTTTTTAAAGGTGGCCAACAGTACTGCACCCTATTGGACATGAGGGTATTTTATTACAGGTTAATTATGTTATATGGCCCCTATCACAATGTCCCACTCAAATGGCTCTCCATAAACAAAACTTTGGGAACCTCTGTTTTATATGTTAGAGAAAAATACATCTATCTTCTAATTTTTATAGTGTACTTGTTTCATTTTATTTCTTTTCTTGGGGGATGGGTGGAGGACACCTTTGTTCCTGTACAAGAACCCAAAGGATTTTCCCTCAGTCCTACTTCTTAGTCGTCCTTCCTGAAGAGAACTAGATGGAACTCTGCATAGCCTGTCAGTGCTTCATTATAATCAGATGTGAAAAGTGATTAAGCAATGTCAGCCACAGCCCTCCACTCCCAGGAGGTGAGCATGTTGCTTTCATGATGAATACGCCTTCTGATGGGCCAGAGATCAATTTACTGGAAATATAACCCAGATATCCTTTCTAGCAATACAGTGCATTCTATCCCTTGGGGATCCTTTAACAACAATATTTTTATGTTGCCTCACAAAAGCATTTATTTTTGGCCTGTTAAAGTTGTGACATGAGTTGAACAGTTTCACTATAAAAGGTAATTTAGAGTCAGTATACATACAGTGTGAAATATCTGGTGAATTTCTCCTAATAGTATAACACTTGATTTTTATTTTTTTTTGTTCTTTCGAACAAGACTGAACACATCTTTAGGTGCCAAAAATGAAGTGGTAGTCAATGGATTTTTTTTGCCTTTTCTTCCTTTTTAATTGGCTATCCTATACCATGCAAGTAGATAGGTTAATTTGTTAGGAACCCTTGAAGATATTCACCTTGGGCAACAGTTACTACATTATGAAAAATAATTACAAATTTAGTTAGCCATTGATTGTGGTAAAAATAAACCTAAATATTACTATATCTGTAAACCTATGAAGATATTTTCTCACACCTGTTACTTTTTTCACTAGGGAATTGTGCTATTAGTTGCTGTCAATGAAATTATTTCAGAGTACTCTGTGTGAATATTGTTCTTCTGACCACTTCAAAGCAGTATTGGACAGAAGAAGTTTGTTCTCAGACAACTGGTGAAATTTAAGGAGTCCTGATTTTTTTTTTAATGAAAATACAGTATTTTCTCTTACTTTTTGGTTTTTTCCTAATATCTTTTTAGACACAATTCTGTCCTCACACACTAAAATAATATTTTAAAAGAGAAGATATCATCTGGTATAGTCAGAGATTGATGGGGCAAATTTTACCACGTTTAGTTTTTCTTGATGGGTTAGGGTGAAGTATGCTGATTGTGGGGGATAAATAGGTTTGGTTTGTCTTTTTTTGGGTCAGTTTTCATTAACACATTTATGTAAGAGTGTGTATCTAAAGCTATTAGATAAGAAGCAGAGGCATAGCAGTACAGTTCTCTCCTAGGGAATCCAGGGTCACAGCAGCTGTTGCCATGCCAGGCATTGCAGTGGCTATTTTTTTGCCTGCCCTCACGAAGGTGGTGACTAGGGCTGCTGCCCTGGTTGCCCCCAGCCCCCCTCTACACCCCCCTCCTTCCCAACACTACTGATAGGATCACTATTTTAAATTTGGGAGATGAAGCTAAAAGGTAGCTGGAATAGTGTAATTTTAAACTTTTTACTTTTTTAATTAGCAGTACATACATAACATTACACCACCTTTTTGTAGCTGCAATCTCAAAACAGTTTATAAAAGTGAGTAAGCATTGCTTTCATTTCTTAGATTAATAGGCAAGAGAACTGTTAAAAATAGCATCCTAATTCCAATAGGAAAAGCACATTTCTTATATTGAATTAAAAAATAAAAATTAACAGTAAAAGTGAGATGAATAGAACATTTCTGGAAAGGAATTCTTTCCAAATTGGACAAAAATTGTATTAAGTCATTTATTTTTCATTGGATCTTGCATCCTGCTTCATAGTGAAATAAAAATAAATGGATTCTGAAAGCTTTCCTTTCTGACTTGTTTAATAGAGGTTTTGTCTGGATGACTACTCTTGTAGTTTGTTCAGACTCACAGCATTATTTACTGATTTCAAAACACATCTTCCCTTTGTTTGCTGTCTTTCTACATCAGTAAACTGTTGACTTACTGGATTGGTGGGGGGGTTTTCTCTATTCAAATTGTAATCTTGAAGCTTTGTGCCATATTTGGTTTTCATCACGGTGAAATACCATGGTGATTTTCTTGAGCTTCAGTGTAGTATGCCATTTAGCTCATTACATCACACTACCTGAAATTTTTCCTTTAGAAGTTTTTATATCAGAGAAGAAAAATGGCCCAGTGGCTACAATAAACACCCATACTAGTGGACCTATTCTATAAGTGATATTGAACAGTGATCCTGATTTACTCTGCTTAATGTGAAGCGACCCCAGAATACCTTGAAACAAGGACCAGCATTAAGCTCACATGGGGGCAAACTTGGGATTTAATGTTATTTCTGTATCTATAGAGGATTCTGCATGGTCTTGCGAAGTTGGTGTTGTTGAGGTCTCAACACAGTTCCATGTGTTTGTGCTTTCCTCATCCAGTATTTGCTGAAGCTCTTCATGCCCAGGACCCAAGGAGGCTAAGCTTTATGGAAGCTGATTGACAAATGCTGCCTGTAATCAAAGTCCTATGTATTCTGCAGAATATGTCCAGGCCTTAAGTTCTGTCAAAGATATAACAACACAGGCCTTTTGTTACTGGTTGTGTTAGCCAAGTATAGACATTCATTTTCTCCTGGGAGAGTTGCTGCTCTCCCAGGAGAAGCCATTAGTTTATGGATGTTCAGGATTTTTTTTCCAGAACAAAAATGGCTTTTCCAAGAGAAAAATAACATGGAAACAGCCAGGGTTAGATCAGTGTTGGTCGAGTTTCCCGTAGAAGAGCAAATGCCAGTACACTTACTCTTTTGAGAGAAGTCGGAGCACAATCCACCAGCATCCCAGGGTGTGCTAGACAGCCCTTCCTTCCCCTCCCCGCAAGACGGTGTGTCACGAGAGCCAGATTCTACTGCCCGAGCTGAACAGGGAAAAGAACACGTCCACTTCACAATGCCAAATTATGCTGCTGTGTGACACAGGCTGATTGAGCAGTTTGTCAGCCAGCCAGGGCTGTGGACACACCAGTGCATCTTACTTCCATGCAGACTTGAGGGAGCCTGCAGAACATGCTGAGATGTGTGCACAGGGCCTCCCTGGCTGTATAGCATCAGTACTGCAAGCTCTCTTTTCTTCAAGGGTTCATCATTCAAGGGCACATCAGACCTCTGTTTAGGTACCTCCTGCTAAGGCTCTCTACCAGGAGAACAAACCCCAGATAATTCTCCCAGGTCCTTTGAATATGTAATAAGACAAGCTATGAAAGCATTTGGAGGAGAAACTTGCTAGAGACACAGAAGATGATAATTTTTTTTAAGTACATTAGAAGCCAAAGACCTGCCAGGGGAGTCAGTCAGGCCTTCAAATGATCAGAATGTAAAAGGGGTGCTAAAAGATGAGTGGCCCATTGCTAAGAAACTAAATGCATT